GAAAACTGCCAATAGTGGGGTCCTGAGACTGCAGCACAGAGAGGTCTGACAAATCTAAGCTGGGCAGTACACTCATTTCTGCCTGTACACCACACACGTCGTCCCCCTCCTCAGGTGGCAAGTGGAGGCGGGACAGTGCATCTGCATTTGCATTTTGTGAACCTGGGCGGAACTTAATAGTCAGATCAAATGAGGCCAACTCAGAGGCCCATCTCTGCTCTGCGGCACCTAGTTTTGCTGTTCCCAAATGGCTCAGAGGGTTGTTATCTGTAAATACTGTACATCTATTTCCCAGCAAGTACTCTCTAAACTGCTCAGTAACAGCCCATTTCAGCGCAACCAGCTCAAGCTTCATAGAGCTATAGTTTTTCATATTCCGCTCTGTTGGTTTTAAGCTCCTACTTGCAAATGCAATGGGTCTCAACTTACCCCCATGCTCTTGGGATAAGACTGCGCCCAAACCCCCATGGCTCGCATCTACCTCCAGGACAAATGGCCTCTGGAAATCTGCATAGGCAAGAACAGAAGTGGTTATCAAGGCATTTTTCAGTTTGGCAAAACTTTCCTCGCATTCACTGTCCCAACATTCAGTTACTGGTTTTCTTGGAGTTTTACCCTTCCTACCCGGGGGAAGAAGGTTTGCAACCAACCTATTCAGTGGCCCAGCCATATTTGAAAACCCTGCAATAAATCTTCGGTAGTAAGAAGCAAACCCCAAAAATGATCTCAACTCAGCCAGATTCTGGGGTTGCTTCCACTCCCGCACTACAGCCACTTTGTCAGGATCTGTAGAAACACCATCAGCAGAGACTACATGGCCCAGGTACTTTACACGTTTCTGAAAAAAATTACATTTAGAGAGCTTTACCTTCAACCCCTGCCTGTCTAACCGGGAAAAGACTTGTTCTAACCGTTCAAGGTGCTGCTGTACAGTGGAGGAAAAAACTATCACATCATCTAAGTACAAAAGTACTGACTGGTGGCGACAGTCCCCAAAAATACCCTCCATGAGTCGCTGAAACGTACTGGGCGCATTGCACAGACCAAACGGCATGCGATTAAATTCAAACAGACCAAAAGGGGTACAAAACGCTGTCTTAGCCTTGTCCCTTTCAGCCATCTCCACTTGGCTGTAGCCGCTAGCCAAATCTAATGTGGAGAACCACTGGGCTCCAGCCAAAGCATCCAGCGACTCCTCTATTCTTGGAAGAGGAAATGCATCTTTTCTGGTCTTCGCATTTAAAGGTTGTATAGAGGATTTTCCAAGGAACGAGAAATCCAGCGACTGTTTGTCCTTTTTCAAATGTTGCGCATGGGTGAAACCACCCCCCCTCCCCTACAGCTCCTACGTAGAAACGCCTTCTCCCGCCTCCTCTTTACGCCAGAAACAGGTTTGTTTACAGCCGGTGCTGCACATGACTTGTAAACAACTAACTACAGTGTTGGTTAAGCAAGACGGAGAAGTGAGGAGCGGGGGGAGCGGGTGTGCGGACATTTCGTTCGCGGACGAGAAGTGAGGAGCAGGAAGAAGAGCGGAGAGGCAGAGAGGAGAGGGAGAGGAGGAGAGAGAGGAGAGAGAGAGAGAGAGAGAGGAGAGAGAGAGAGAGAGAGAGAGAGAGAGAGAGAGAGGAGAGAGAGAGGAGAGGGAGAGAGGAGAGAGGAGAGAGGAGAGGGAGAGGAGAGAGAGAGGAGAGAGGAGAGAGAGAGGAGAGGAGAGGAGAGAGAGAGAGGGAGAGGGAGAGGAGGAGAGGAGAGGAGAGAGGAGAGGAGGAGAGGAGAGGAGAGAGGAGAGAGAGAGAGGAGAGAGGAGAGGAGAGCGGTGCGCGGAGATTCTGTGCCCGGAGAAGTGAGGAGCAGGGGGAAGAGTGGATCGGGCAGTGGGGACAGGAGCAGGAAAGGGGAGCAGAGAAGGTTGCGCGGAGATTCAGTGCGAATGAACTAGCTACAACACGCAGCAGCAAGCGACTCTTTCTTTGCCTTGAAAATTACGTTTTCAGACATAGGATATCGCTTTTGTGTCCTGAAAAACGTTTGACTAGCTCTTGGAAATAAAGTACGTTTTCATAATAAGCAGAAGTTTCCTGTCCAGGAGTAATTTGGCGACCAATGCGTCAGTCTTTAGACCCTGCGTCTGCTTCAGTCGCGCCATCGCTGGAATGAATCTTCAAGAATCACCTTAGTTTGGCTTCGCTGCTTTTCCCCTTGTCTTCTTCTTTCACCTCAAAAACGGACTTTCTTTTGCGGCTAACTGCTCCTGGATTCTTGTCTGCCATTGCAACAAACTTTGTGCTAACTGCGAGGAAGATATAGGTCAAAAAATGCCGCTAAGAACTGTTGCGTTGGTGGAGTAAACAGCGTCTGTGCGTCTTGCGTCTGTGGACTGCGTGACAGTCGTACGTAAACCACGTACCGGCGGCGCGCAGGGAAGTCAGTTACGCTAGAAACGTAGGGAGTTTGATTGACAGCCTGTCAGCTCACAGATAACGAGGCAGTGTCGTTATCTATTGGCAAATGTTTAGCCCCACCACGTCCAGAGTTGATGAATTTTTATTCTCTTTTTTTTGGTCATCATAATTACAAGGCTACTGCATCTCTATAATGCTATCACTGACAACTTGAAACAAAAAAAACAAAAACAAAAATCCTCCATACAACCTTTAACAGCCTATAGTCCACGCGCATGCGCAATGAACCATCTTTTTTAAGCACCAGAACTATTGGGGAGGAATACGGACTGCTGCTCTCCCGAATTATTTGACTTTGCAGCAACTGTTGGATGTGATTACGGGCCAATTCATATTGTGAGGGGGGAATCCGCCTATATGGCTGACGCACCGGAGTCTCATCTAGCAAGGGTATTTCATGTTTAATAAGATCTGTGCATCCCACATCTAGATCATTTCGTGCAAAAACTCTGCTATACTTTGCCAAAAGAGCCTTAGCTTTTTAGTCTATCTCCCAAAGCTAGATTTTCAAACTCGGGTAAATTAATCTCACTTTCCCCTGTCACCTCCTGAGAAGCAATAAATGCTGTACAACTTTGTGAATCTACAGAAACCTAAATCTGCGCCTGCTCCCCGATTATAACTTCAGCCTTTTGAACAGTGGCAATCACCCTACGCGGGGGTAACCAGACATCTGTCGTACCCACATTAGTGACAGGCACAAAGGTCCGGCCCTGCTCTGCCTTGACTAAAGAGGGTGATATCAATAACCCTTCAGGCAGACCAGTGTGCTCAGGCCCAAGAGGTTCCACCATGAGCTCTATGGACTGAAGTAAGGGCACCTGTGGGCAAGTAACAGGAACATACTTCAAACTGCCAGCTGGAATACATAAAGGCCTCTTACCCTGTACTCTAACTGGATGAGGGTCTGGGGAGCTGGCCATTGCCTCCATCACCTGGCAATACCTCAGGACTCTCCTCAGTCCAGGTGGTGCAGACCGGATGACTGATGCCTCCCAGAGGTCAGGGCCATATTGCCTCAGTAGTTCAGAATACAGAGGGTTAAACACATTCATACCAAGCACCCCAGGTACAACAGTTTTTTTCTGTTGCATGTAACTATCACAAGGGTCTTTCACAATCAACACACCCCGGCGAGGAAGAGACACCCCCAAAACATGCATGTGTAGTTCAACGTAACCGAGGTATGGGATTTGTAAACCGTTGGCAGCTTTTAGCCCCAGCCAACCACAATCCCTAAGACCCTTGTCCGACAGATGAGAAAAGTTGTTATTGAAGTAGTTTTCTGTAATCGTGGTGACCATGGACCCACTGTCTAATAGACAACGAACATTGACCCCAGCAAAGTCTACCTCAGCCTCAAAACACTCCCCCACAAGTTTGGGAAAATCCGAATTAGCATTAATATTGGAGCCAATTTGTCTCCCCACCAATGGGTGGCTCTGCACACTGGCGGGCTCTAGTTTCCCACCGGTGGGAACTGTGTTTGATTATGGTCTTTAGGTTCATTCTGAACGTTATTTGGACAATTACGTGCAATGTGGCCGCTCTGCTCACACCTAAAACAAATAGGCTTCCCATCAGCACTTCATCGGGGCCTACTGAACCGCCCTCTGGCTGGAGGCAAACTTTGTGGTGCCAGTGCTTTAACAACCAAATCCAGCTGAGTTTGCTGTGCTTTCAAAAGAGACATCAATTCACTATATTGAGACGACCCAGTAACACCTTCACAAGACACCACAGTTTCATTGGAGACAAGGCTATATTCGTTACTTCTAGGTTTAGACTGCACCCCATACTGAGCCATCCACTTAGTGGCCTGAGCTCTGGCCTCACGGATAGTCCAGTTAGGGTTTAGATCAACTAAGTCTCTCAGTCTTATTTTTAAGGCTTGATCTCTGATCCCGTCAATAAATTGATCACGCAAGTCTTTAGAAGCAGCCGTAGAGGTAGCTTGAGCATCAGTTTTAACAATCAAGTCCATCAAGTCCATCAGTGAATGAGAGTAATCAATCAAGGACTCACCCTCTTGTTGTTTACGGTTAGAGAACCGTTGCTGTAACGAAATATGTGAGTGCATACATCCATAGACCTCTTTCAAAACCTTAAAGATTGAGGCCATACATTCTCTCTCTTCTGTCGGTAGAAATTTTATCTCAGTGCGCGCCGCGCCCTCCAGGTGGTCAAACACGATTTGCGCACACTCTTTTTCCGTGCAAGCTCTTAATTGTGCAAAATGTCTTATTTGTTCGATCCACTCATCCAGAGTCCATGAGTCGCTACTATTCGGTTTCCCTGAGAAATGTGGCAGTTTTCTGTCCTGCTGCACATACACGACGGAAGCCTGCGGGGTTTGAGACGCAGCTCCTCCGCCTGTGGCTCCACTGGAAGTGAATGGAGCCTCCGGGTCTGTGCCAGCGGCTCGCAACGCCGCCAGCTGGCTTTCCAGCTCTCTGATGCGCCGTGACATGGCCTGCTTCTCTGCGTCGGCCTCCATGACTGCGTTCACGTGTCCAAGGCCCCCCGGTGTCACCAGCACCTACTGCCCCTGCTGTCCTTAAACTAATTACCAAGACGACACAAAATCCTCCAAAGACGGTCACTTCCCCGTAATCCGGCACGGCTCCAAATCCTGTCAACAACGCCAAATGTTACAGCCGTGGTAATAAAGGTCCAGAGCCGGGGATGCAGTTGAGGTTATTTATTTAATATGAATGGACAAGCTCAAGGGAAAAGAAGGAAGTGACCGGAAAAAACAAACAACTACAGGACAGCAGGGACAATAACAACTGCAAAAAAACAAAAACCCAAATTACAAAAAAACTGACAACTTGATAAACTTTAATGATTTAAAACCAATTTAAAATGCTGCTACCTGTGTCGTACATCCACACACAGCTTCCCCGTAGCACCGCTCAAGTTTCTTTTAAAAACAGCGTGGCCGCCTAAACACACAACAATCAATTTTCAAAACACAGTTTCATTTACCCTCACACACAAACCATCTAAAAACCCACCTGTATCTTCAGCCAAACGCACGCACACGTGGGTCCAGCGGTCCACCTGGCCACCCATGGAAACTGACACCCTCCCGGGCACACAGCCAACTTCCCCTTAAATTCTGCCTGGGTGTGGCCCAGCAGCGACACCCTGTGGCACCACCCGCTACATATGTATTTACACATGTTATATATGTATTTACATATGTTATATATGTATTTACACATGTTATATATGTATTTACACATGTTATATATGTATTTACACATGTTGTATATGTATTTACACATGTTATATATGTATTTACACATGTTGTATATGTATTTACACATGTTGTATATGTATTTACACATGTTGTATATGTATTTACACATGTTGTATATGTATTTACACATGTTGTATATGTATTTACACATGTTATATATGTATTTACACATGTTATATATATATTTACAGATGTGGACAGAAGACAGGATTCTGCTTGAGGTTCGTCTCAAACGTTTTTTTGATGAACAAACTCAGATCCTCCAGAACCTGGAGCTGCGACTGAGCTCCTGCCTCCACCAGAGCTCCTCCCTCCACAGGTGAGCTCCTCCCTCCACAGGTGAGCTCCTCTGACAGGTGAGCTCCTGCCTCCACCAGAGCTCCTCCCTCCACAGGTGAGCTCCTCTGACAGGTGAGCTCCTCCCTCCACAGGTGAGCTCCTGCCTCCACAGGTGAGCTCCTCTGACAGGTGAGCTCCTCCCTGCACAGGTGAGCTCCTCTGACAGGTGAGCTCCTCCCTGCACAGGTGAGCTCCTCTGACAGGTGAGCTCCTCCCTGCACAGGTGAGCTCCTCTGACAGGTGAGCTCCTCCCTGCACAGGTGAGACTGTGACTAAACCTTCCTCTGCATCATGATGAAGAGCATGAGGAACAGTTTAGTTTAATCTGACGTGTGTGTTATTATATATATTTATATGTGTTTATACATATGTTTGTAGGTGTGTTTATATATGTTTATACATAAGATTGTGTGTGTGTGTGTGTGTGTGTGTGTGTGTGTATATATATATATATATATATATATATATATATATATATATATATATATATATATAATATAATGTTTGTAGGCGTGTTTTTATAAATTTTTATATGTTTATATGTTTGTTGTTTTTGTTTGTTTGTTCAGTCAGGTGGGGCGGCTGTTGGCGCTGAAGCTCCAGCTCCTCCAGGGGGCGCTGCACAGGCTGTTTGTGGTCAGACACGTCAGTCTGACTCTGTTGAAGGAGATGAAACTGAGCACGCTCAGTACAGATGACCTCACCACAACGAGAACAACGCCTGTGACCCCTGTGACCCCTGTGACCCCTGTGACCTCTGTGCAGGTGAGTCCAGAGACGGAGGAGGCTCTGGGCGTCTCTCAAAATGCACTTTTAAGTCTGTAGTTAGTCCAGAACTCCGCGGCTTTAACAGAAACCAAAAAACGAGAACATCTCACTGTCCTGGTGTCTCTGGCTCCTGATCAGTTTAACTGAACAACTGACTGACTTGTTTGTTTTGAAAGTTTTGAGTGGACGAACCCCACAGTACGTCTCAGCTCCAAACCCTAACCTCATCCAACGTGTTTATCAAATGTCATTTATTAAGAAAAGTGGAGCAGAGGAGCAGAGGAGGAGGAGCAGAGGAGGAGCAGAGGAGGAGGAGCAGAGGAGGAGGAGCAGAGGAGGAGAGAGAGGAGGAGCAGAGGAGGAGGAGCAGAGGAGGAGAGGAGGAGGAGAGGAGGAGGAGCAGAGGAGGAGAGAGGAGGAGCAGAGGAGGAGCAGAGGAGGAGGAGCAGAGGAGGAGCAGAGGAGGAGGAGCAGAGGAGGAGGAGCAGGAGGAGGAGAGGAGGAGGAGCAGAGGAGAGCAGAGGAGGAGGAGCAGAGGAGGAGGAGGAGGAGGAGGAGGAGGAGGAGCAGAGGAGGAGAGGAGGAGGAGCGGAGGAGGAGCAGAGGAGGAGGAGCAGAGGAGGAGGAGCAGAGGAGGAGCAGAGGAGGAGCAGAGGAGGAGCA